CTTTTCCATGAGGGCAGGCTACCGTAGATCCATTTCAGTTGGCCTGCTCAGTGTGCGTCCACAGGCGAGGAGCCTCCGAACCTGGACCCTCCTCCGGAAGCTTCGCCGCTTGGGGCACTGCCCACAGTGCGGAGAACCCTCCTCACACTCCAGGCCACGGGGCAGCACACTATACTATACTATATAGAATACTATATACAGGTCATTAGCAGCTTGAGCATACTTAAGCTAGTCTTAGCATTTCTTCTTTGCAGGCCGTCATTAGTACTCACTTGCCTAGCACGGCAGCCGTGGCCATGTTCATGCTTAGCTGCAAGGTTCTGCAGTCTTGTTTTTTTTGAGACATGCAGCATGCAGAGGAGGATGAGGTCAGTTGAGTTGAAGGGTCCTGAACACCCAGTTGCGACCAGTGACTAGGTGCGGTGGACGCGCGGCTTGGAGATGGAAGCGGAGTTTTGGAGACTTAGCCTTTATTTCTCGATCAGGCTTGGTGCACTCCCAAATGCTGTCGTTCCAAGGAGGGGGAAGCTCTCCTTGAACCCGGAAGAGAACGTCAGCCTCGAACGTCTGAAGATTCTTGGCCGTGGTGTGGTGCCACATCACGCTGGACCTTTGCAGTTGAGCCAGTAGTCTCAACTGCTTAAATTAAAGGGGTTATATAGGGGATTATATGGGGGAGTATTGTAGGGGGAACTACGGGGATAATCGGAGCTCAGACTATAGCTCAGCTTGAGGCAGCCCATTCCAGCTTTGGCCTCGTTGCCTTAGAAGCTTCGCTTCAAAATCGTAATGTGTAGGACACCTTCAGGAAATCCTGCATTGAAAGGTTAGAAGAAAATATATATATATATATATACATATATATATATATGTGTAATTATGTCCAACCCTCACAGGATCTATAACACCTTCAGTCATTCCTATCAGCCAGCCAGTCAGATGGTGACCTAGGAAGTGGATCGCCACAGGCGAGGTTCCCTGGACGCTTCCTGGGGATGACCTTTGCGACTTTGCTGCTTGGCATGTAGATGGACGTTCAACAAATGGGAGGTGCAGCACTTGGCTTTCCTGTATAAGGGCTGAGGCTTTGAAGGGCTCACACGGTCTGCGCCAGGCCATTGATGCTTGAATGCTCAGAGAGGCATGGCATACTGACGAAGCCCCATGGAACTCATAATACCATGCTGTTCAAGCAGCCGTCCTCCCCCTGAGCCGCCTCAATTTTTTGCGTGCTTTTCCTCCAGCAGACACGGCTCACGGCGCTTAGGTCGCAGATGCGCGGAAGAGACGCAGCCCAACATCCCTTGGGGGCAAGATCCCACGCGTGCTCAATGCTGGCCGTTCAGCTTGCAATAGTACATCGTTCTTGCTCGGGTCTGCCTCAAGGAGCTACTAGCTTGTCTGTTGAGTTTGAAGAGACATACGATCAGAATCAGCACGAGTGCTGAATGCTTCCAATACGTTATTTGCAAGCTTGAAGTTACAAACTTTCGCCGATGTGAAGCTTGCGACACCTGCAAGGATGCACAAGGTTCTGGTATATAATACCTTTTAATATTTCCTGCCTCGTAGCTGCTCTCACGCCCTCGAGGCTCAGGGCCTTTGGCACCGAAGCCGTTACACTGCCAGCTGGATGCACGTCCGACCTCTGTGAAGGACCGGCCAGGGGCAGTCTCAAGAAGGCTGATGAATCAGCGGAAGCCCCAATCCTTGCGATCCCAAGTGCAGTCGTGGCTCGGTGCACAACTTAATCACTTACCAACCGCAGAACTGGGCAGGTTGTTGCTGCGGATGGGCTGGCGCGGTTCTACAACCGTGTCCTAGACGAGCGAGGGATGATGCCACCCTATCTGCCCGTGCAGTGCCCGGTGGAGGCCCGGTAGAAGTTGACAGCTGGGACAGGCCGAGCATGGCCGAGCTCTGCGCCGGACAAGCCTTAAAGCATCATAAAGAAGCAATGGCCTCCCACACAGGCGGATGCCAGGGAGCTTGCCAGCAATGTGAAAGATAACTAGGCGCAACGCTAAAGGCAGGCATCGCTCAAAGCTTCAAACCAAAAAGGTTTGCTGCTTCCGTGCTACGAGGGCAAGAGTTGACAAGTGCACCAGTGCGAACCGCACAGGAACTGCATTCCTGCTTTCCCTTCGGCCACTTTGATGTGGCCCACATCCGGAACGCGCTGGACCATAGCTTCGATCCCGCCCGTTGGCTGCATTTTCCAGAGGCTTCGGACCCTAATTGAGGCCAAAGCTAGCGTAGCGGCCTTTTCAATTCCGGTATCGCGACCCATGTTGCTCCTAGCATCTCCTAGCATTGTGGCAACATGACAGGAACCTACAAATAGCTGCTGGCATTGTTATCATTTTGTCCCGAGGTCCTCGGCATCCAGCGCATGCTGCAGGCCCTGAGTGCATCCATGAGCAGCTGCAGAACAGACAACTATTGAGTTTGAGCTTGAGCCTACAATAGTACGTGTGATCAGCAATATTCCTACGTCTACACTGTATGGCTACGCCTACTTGCTATTCTTGTCGCTACTGCTTTACTGAAGGTTGTTCGGCCTGGCGGGTGGGTTCTGCTTCGGCATGCGCGGAACGAGGGCGTGCCTGGCCAGTTCCGCAATGGCTACGGCCCCAGCCGCCACATGTCGCCTTGCCACCAGAAGTTCGGAAGGGCCACAGCAGTGCCAGTCCCAAGTCTTTGCTGCTCCAGCTTAGCTGATTAGCATGACGGCCCCTAGCCACAATTCGTGCAATGCTGTAGGCCCCATGCACTTGGTCCATGGCCGCATAACCAGTGTGGTTTTTGAAGCAGGTCTTCACCAGTGGGCCTTCGATGTGGATTCTGATGATGCCAGCGACCCCCACTTCATCATCTGGAATCCAGATCTACGCCCCTTGGCTGGAAGAATCAGACATTTAAGAAACTTTAAGGCGAGGACCAGGCCGCTGACCAGCCAGCAAAACACCGTTTGTGAAGCCACCTGATTGGCCCAGAGTTTCGATAGCGATTATAGACACCAGCAACATGCCAGAAATACTGTTTTGTAGCCCAAGCATCAACCAGCCACATTTGGCTCACAGTACTTGGACTTAGAGTCAAAACTCGTGTGGCGCCAATTTAATTAGGATGTTCTTTTCAAGCGCGTGGATTACAGAAAGGCCGTTTCAGACAATGCAATTAATGTTAAATTAATGTTGAGGATGTTAAGGTCGTTATTCTAAAGGGGGTCGTAAAAAATAAATTCCCCGGGTCAGAGAAAACGCCTGAGATTTGGGATTTTAATATGATTCTAATTGCGAACCATCGGCTTCCTTGATACGACCTCTCCGTATACAGGAGGGCATGGGGTGATTGTTATGTATGGGTGGGAATAATAAAGTTCCCCTCCCTACAATTCCGTTAAAAAACATTGTTCGCAGTCGAAATCAAATTTCGTGAATGCAGACTAAGAGTTCTTCGGCTAGTTTCTGTCCAGAGGTAAGCAGAATAGGAGAGAGCACTCCTGTCCTACTCCTAATTGCTCCTACTATTCTTGCTCCTACTTTTACTCCAACTCAACTTCCAGACAGTTTGGGCCTCGGAGCTTTATTACGAAACCCAAGTTTCTGTGCACCTTTGCTTCAAGATTGGTCCGCCCGAAACTCCGGATGAGGGACTGCTTTAACTACCTAATCATCATAAAAAATGTTTTTGACGACCCAAAAGGGCAAGGCGCTTTAAACATGGACTTGTATCTGACTTCTGTCTTTGAGAGCCCCAACCTCCAGGTGTGGATGTGACATCCTTCTTGTTGGAAACGGGCGCCGCAGCGGAGGCCGACCCCCACATGTGATTACTTCTTGAAAGGCCTGTTCCCTTTTGCATACATCCAGAACCGCCTCACCCCCGCTATGCCGACTCCTTAACTTAAAGGCGCAAAGATTTCTTCAGCTTTCACACATAACTCCCTTTCAGATCTCGGATGGTCGAGGGATGATGGGATTCAGCAGCAGTGGAACGATGTTTCATGAAGAGGCTGTGATTGAAATTCTGACTTTGAACATGAGACGCTTGCAAAGTAGCGCTTGAGTTCTTGTTCTCCCCCTGGAGGCCGAACAAGTTATGGAGCGTCATGATATTAATGGCTGGTTAAACATCTCCGCGCCCTGTAAGTCATAGGGGGAGGGGCATGACGGCTACATTTGGCCAAATACCATTTGGAACGAATTCTCCTCTCCAAGGTTCTGAAAGCTGTGGTGAGTGATGCATGCTCAGAGGTAAAGACTCGTTTGCTGGATCATCCCAGTGATGATGCACCAGAAGACGAACGATACGCACCTGGGCATCTTTACAAGACGTTTCTTTCCGGATTCATTGCCTGCTTTCTTGCAGCGCATTCGTCTTCCTTGCAACCAGTTTGAAGAAAGCAGTCGCAGTGTGAAGAGCTGGCAATGCGATGTCATGCGCTTGATAGGGAATCCGGTCCACATGCAAATTGGGAAACCTGGAGATGCAAGGTTTGGGTTGAGATCCGCAAGCCGACTGCCACCGAGCTGGCTGCGCACTTCAAGGTTGACGAGGAGGGTTAAAGCAATATGAGGAAGTGTCAATTAATTTCATCTCACAGGTCTGGCATCCCTCCTGCAACAGTCAGCTTGGTTTGCCATGTGTGGGATGAAAGAGATGAAGAGTCCTGATATGCATTCTGAGTAGTAGCATGTTTATTGCAGGCACATTTGTTATTCTCATCTTAACCTCCACCTGCTTAGTACCTGAGCGCCACGACGGCTCGCAGCATGGTTTGAGCCTCCGACCGCGAGTGTCGCAGTGTCGCTCGCCTTCGGTAAAAAAAAACCTGGCTTGGCCAAACTGTGCACGTGGGAATACACCGGCCGTAAGCTGATTACAGTGAATTATTAAAAGCAGGTTTTGAGGGTTCTGTAGATGTTCTCAAGACTCCAGAGTCTGATAGCCGAGGATATGAGCCAGAGAGCTTTGTTTTTGGGAGTTGCAGCAAGGCTTGAAAAAGATCTACCACAGCTACCTGAAGGCCTGGAGGTCTTGCCTGGACAAGGACGGACGGCTGCCTGCAACATACAGATTCTATAATGCGGCCTTAGCCTGCGTTTGCAGCTACAATGAGCCGCTTTGAGTGGCGGAAGTCATCTTCCAGGTGGAAGGAGGATCAAGCTTCCATGCAAGCTTAGCCAGAAGCGGTAGCTCAAGAGGCTTCAGCACAACACGAATCCAAGCACTGTGCTACTTTGGAGTCCTGATTTTTTATCAGTCCTCACCAACCCTACGAAAGCCTCGAACCAGACCGGTGCAAAGCAGCATCTATCTCGCAGCTCATGCCGCCCTGATCCGTCAAAATCACCGACAGCCCATCAGCACATCCACACTACATAGCACAAAGAGGCCTTGTCTCAAGCTCCTTAAGCTAGCCTCCATAGGCCCGACGACACTGCTGAGGCAAGCAAACAAACCACAATGCTCCATACCAAGCCCGATGTTAATGTAAGCCCTGCATAGCTCACGCCACTGTTTGGGGACTCTTTCAGAAGCCAGGACAACAGCAATCGCGTGACCTGGCAGCGGTTCCAAGAAGGGGCTTCGCGGGCAGCTCGCAGGAGTTTAGACTGCGGCCAAGCGCTCTCCGAGCGCGCGCTTTGCACAGATTTGCGCAGTTCACAACTGCAGCTACAGCTGCTGCTATGGCTGTACTGTTTGTGTGCTTGTTCACCATAAGCTCGCAAAACGATGCTGCTGCTTGGATTTCTGCTGCTTCGTGGTCTGTTCTGAGAACACAGGCTTACATGGCCCCTACCAGCATGTCAAAAAACAGCGCAACCCCAGAAACCAAGCAGGTGACATCAAATGAGGTGGAGTGGAAGAGGCTGAGGGAAGTGACACAATCTCATGCGGGTGCACTAAGGCAGGTGTTATGCCTAAGGAGCCACAGATCCGGGATGTAGTACAGTCCAAACGCTTTGGCCAAAGTTGTCGCCCACACTGCCAGCACCTATCTGTTCTTTGCTGCAGGGTTCGAGCCCAAACCCTACATTAGAAGCTTCAGAGCGGATCCGCCAAGGTAATCTTCCACAATGACTTGGCTGGAGCCTGGCGATACTTGACGGCCACAGCCTCAGTCCACAGAACGCATGTTATTGTGGAAAGGGCATGTGCCACCCAGACTTCTAGAACGGCCACAGAATTAGACAGCACACCCAAGCTTGAGATTAGGGTGCTCCAGTCCAACTTGAGGGTATGCTTTGGTTTCTTCACCTATACCAAAAGACCTTACCCACAGAAAGGCGAATATGAGTTTCCTCAACGCGGCTTCCGGACCTGCCCCGATGCCCCTGCATAGTAGGTGCAGCACTCTGGCGGTCTGTATCTTCAGAAGCTCAATATTTGGAAGATTTTCAAAATGATCTCCCTGAAATATTTGGGAGATTTTCAACATGATCTCCCTGGAATATAAGGGACCCCATAGCTCTCTTATTGTAGTCCTTGCTTTTTCTGCCCCATACTTCCCTTGTTGTCATTGTATATGCCTCGGGTTCGCAAGGGCTCCCACATGTTGCAGGCGGGCTCCACATACCTCACGCTGCACGACATAGATCCAGAGTCGGCAGAACTGATCTCCAAGCACCTTAGCCTTGATAGCCTTTCCAGACTTCCGCGTATCACCTTCCCCTTCCCCATCAACTGAGGTTCCAGTCATTTGCAGACGAACAGTTCGGTGGTGACTTGGCCGCAACAATCCTTCCGCGTTGGGCTGCGCAGGGTACTTGTCCCAGCCTCTTTCTAAGATGAACCCGGCTGCGTTGAATAGCAAGGTATGATGAGTGCCTTCAAGCTCTTTGACTTGGACAAGAACGGCTGCCCGGCCGAATCTGGTCAGGGATGTGCTCAGGACGCTGGCAGCGAGCCAAATGTCACCAGAAGTGTATTTTACCAGGCGTCTTGGCGGTTGAATGCTGTAGAGGTGGACTAAGTTTATAGTCTATTGTGCTAACAGGTATGAAAACCTGTTCTGACTGGGCGATTGTCAAGCATTTTAGGAGGAAGTTCTTCCATTAGGGGAACGATGGCTGTAACCCCCAGATCCCAGCATGTGAAGATCTGAGGTTATGTGGACGTCACGGAGTTCACGCGTGTTCTCATCGGCTTCGGCTATCCGGGAAGCGACGAAGCTGCAAACACGCAAACTTGCATATCCTCAAGCTCAAGCATTGTTGACCTGCAGGTTTTAACCAGGTTTTATTTGCATCTGGGTTCACTGTGTCCTCTGCTCCGCGAAAAGTGTGGTTTCATGCAGAGCTCTCCTCCTAGTGCGGAACGTAGCCATGAATGGGCTGAGGTCAAGTGAAGGCTTTGTTCAACTGCCTGGATGTGGATGGCATCCTGGCTTGCAGGCCCAAGGTATGATGCAAGAAGCCAAGAGGCTTGTGTGGCATGTCGAAGGTTTCTGGGATAGCAACAGGATCTATGGCTTTCAGCAGGCCCAAATTAAGATGTACCCTCAAGTCAAAGACGTGGAACACAAAACTTGGAGCCAATCCTGGCCCAGGCAACTGCCGTCTTTCGCGCCGGAATCTGTCAACTGACCTGGTCCAGCAAGCTTTTGCATTGTGGAAGTTAGCTTCCATTTTGGTCCGCGAGATGGAATGCCCTGTCGTGTTGTATCACAGTGTCACAGGATACGGGAGTTAATCAAGAGTTTGGGGTGCCTTGCTATGAACCCCTGGGGATCTCCAAACAGGCCAAACTGATGCCAAGTCATAAATGTTTACCGCCCCCGGATGCAAGACAAGAAAAGTCTTGGCAAAATCTACAGGAACTTTATTGACGACTGGGCGCGCAAAGGCGAGGAGAGGGTGGATGAGAGCCAGCACCTGCAGCTGAATATGGAATATGGGACAGTGAACACGTAGTAGTTGTGGTTCGAACTTTGAGGTTCAAGCCTTGTTTAAGGCTTTGGTGCAGGGGCTGCAAGAGCTTGCAGAATGCATGCACCCTTAGTTGTTTTTACGCCAGATCGAACTGGAGCCTGCAGGTATCAATGGTCAGGGCACTTCATTGGTTTTAGATGGTTTTGGCTAGTCAGAGCTGCTAGGTGTGGTGCAAAATAGTTTGGGACTGCTGTTGCCACCGTGCTCAGGATTATGGTGGTTCAGGCGACAAACAAAGTCTCAAAGAAGGACCTTGTGGGTCTGCACACGTGGGACCCACAAATCATTTGGGAAACCACGCTTGGTCTTGGGACCCACAAATCATTTGGGAAACCACGCTTGGTCTGCCATCATCTACGGGCGCAGGGGTGTCAAAGGCAGGCGGGTTCTGTCACGAGGCTGGACCTCAAGTTGGGAGTTATTGGGCCTGTGGTCTGCCATAGACCAGCGCGTTGTCCCAAACCAGAATGTGCAATTTCTAAACAGGGGATACCTTTCATTGGAGTACCCTCCTCCTACCCTCTGCCAAACTAACAACTGCACCCCTCGCCCCGCTCCAATTGTGGCTTTCATGTCAGGAAGCTGAGTAGTCAGCTACTCATACAGCGAACATTCCCATCCTTGCAGTTCTTCGCGTCCTGGCCTCCAACTAGTACAGGTCCCAGTCTCTAAACTCGCAGCAATCCCGTCTCCCGAGCATGATAAGGAGGAACTCATTACATCTGTCAGGTGATCTTACATCTGATTCTCCACTCTTAGGGGCTAAGTTTCCAACTCCAAAACCTATCTATCCCAACACCATCGCTGTAGATCACTTAATGTGCGTATGAAATTATATTATGAATATGAGACCCCTTTATACCTTAAACCCTATATTTCCTTGTATATGATCATATACCCTGCCCTACATATCCTAAACTTTAAACCCTGCATATCTTTACACCATAAGTATATGTAAATATATGTATTCATACATATGCACACGCCTACATACCCTAGACCCAATCTCTATACATCCAACAAACCCGAAAACCGAATTCCCAAACCCCAACCCTAAACCCTGACAGCGTAGGACCGGAAGATCGAGCTTTCGCCTCGGCTCCTGGCCTTGTCCGCGCCACGCGTGATCGGCCCAAGGCTCCTTTGCCATCGGAGAGTTTGGAGTTTTAGGGTTTAGGGTTTAAGGGTTTTAGTGTTTTAGGTTTCCGTTTTAAGGTTTTTGGGTTTCAGGTTTGTGGGGGGGTGAGGTTTGGGGCTTCAGGTTTTGGAGTTTTTGTGTTGTTTGTTTTTTGTTTTTGCCTTCTGGTTTTGCGGCTTTAGGGTTTGGGGGTTTCAGAGGTTTTGGGGTGTTGTGATTTTAGGGCTTTAGGTGTTGGGATTTTAACGTTGGGGGGGGGCTGGGGGTTTTGAGGGCTTTAGGTGATGGGGCTTTAGGGTTGGGGATTTGAGGGTTTTGGGTTTGTGGGTCTGGGGTTTGGTTGTAGGATCCAGGGTTTGAGGTGTTAGACTATGTGGTCTGGGTTTTTAGGTGTTTGGGTGTGCGGTTTCAGGGTTTTAGGGTTAGGTTTTGGGGTTTCAGGGTTGGGGTTTTAAGTTCTGGGGTTTGGGGTTTGGGGACTTTGTTATTGTATGGGTTTGGGATGGTTTGGGGTTTTAGGGTT